CATCAGAAAAGGTAGTCGCCGAAATCGCTCTCAGGACCCTATCCTGAGTGACTAGTGGGAAGCTGTCGCCATTGCTGAGACAAGGAGGGCTAAGAAAAAAGCAGGTTTGGTGTGGGTAGAAATAGAATTTGGTTTAATTTTTTATTTTATTTATTTATTTTTTTTTCAACTTTTTTTTTAATTTATTCTTGGGACAGAGAGAGACAGAGCATGAACGGGGGAGGGGCAGAGAGAGAGGGAGACACAGAATCGGAAACAGGCTCCAGGCTCTGAGCCATCAGCCCAGAGCCCGACGCGGGGCTCGAACTCACGGACCATGAGATCGTGACCTGGTTGAAGTTGGACGCTCAACCGACTGTGCCACCCAGGCGCCCCTATTTTATTTATTTAAAACATTTCTTAATGTTTATTTTTGAGAGAGAGAGACTGAATGTGAGTGGGGGAGGGCACAGAGAGAGGGAGACACAGAATCCGAAGCAGGCTCCAGGCTCTGAGCTGTCAGCACAGAGCCCGACGTAGGGCTCGAACTCACAGACCGTGAGGTCATGACCTGAACTGAAGTCAGAAGCTTAAGTGACTGAGCCACCCAGGCGCCCCTAGAGTTTGGTTTTAGACAAGTTAAGCTCAAGATCTCTATTACACGTTCAGGTGGAGGTGCCCAGAGAGTTCAGGGCAGAGGTCTGATGAGCTCTCCATTTGGGGGTTATGATAGAGTGCAGACACACTTTGAAGCTCTTCCCCGTCAAGAGGAGTCTGTTTTCCACCCCTCGAATCTGGGCTGGTCTTGTGATCTGCTTTGACTGATAGAAGGCAGCAGAAGTGACCTGTGAATTCTGAGCCCAAACCTCAAGAGCCTTTGGATCCTGTGACTGCTATACACGGAAGCCCAGTGAGGGACACATGGCCCGGTCACCCAGCTGACAGCCCAGACCTGTGTGGGAATGAGGTCATCCCACTGGCCAGCTGACCCCAGGCGCGTGTGCACGCCTGGCTGAGATGGCCTGGTCAGCCCAGATCAGATGACGAACCTGGTTGAACCAGAGTCAGGAGTCAAAAAAATTGTTGTTTCAAGCAACCAAGTTTTGGAGTGATTTGTTACGGAGCGAAAGCTAACGTGTGCAGAAATGATCAGTATCTAGGTGATGTTTTTATATATAAGGCCATCATTATCCTTTTCTTACTCAAATGAGATCATGATGACCTTCAGCAGCTTGCTTTTTCCACTTAATGACGTGACTAATGGCAATTTCCCATGAGGTGCATTTCAATCTCCCTCATTATTTTTAATAGCTGGATGAATGTATTGCAAATGGCTCAGCCAGTATCCTACGTGGGTGGCTTCTGGTTTTTGCGATCTCAAAGCCGTGGTGAACATTCCTATATACGGTATTTATACACATGTGTATTTATCAGATAAGTTCTCGCAAATACGATTATGGGTCAAAGGGATTTGCATTTAGAATATTAATATTTGTCAAGCTATCTTCCCAAATGATTTACTAATTCATACTTCCTTACGTGTGGGAGCGAGTGTATATATCAACCCCTTACCAACACTAGATATTTGCCGATCTGAAAGGAAAAGAAAATGTATTTCATTACTGTTTTATTTGCATTTTTAAATTATGGATGAGGTGGAGCATATTCTTATGTGTTTAGTATCCATTTGTATGTTTTTTTCCCTCTGAATCTCTTATTTCTGCTCTTTGCTCATTTTCCATGGCTTGTTTAACCTTCTTAAAAACTGAACTATAAAAAGGTCAATGGATATTAAAGAAATGTTACCATGTTTCGAAACAGTTTCTAGAAACAGACTTTTACACTTGAGTTCCAGAGAAGTTTGCAAAGCAGTGAAAAATAAGTTCCTACATTCATAAAGTGTTTGACAATCACAAAACACTTTACAAGCACCCTCTAATATACCCTCTGCTATCTTCTGAGGCAGGTCTTCTTTATCCCATTGATTTAATGGATGAGGAAGGTGAGATTCAGAGATTTCAGTACCGTTAGGTGGGGGAAAAAATCTCGCGATACTATGAAACGGGCATGAAACAATTACTGTCTTCAGTCCAGCACACTCTCCGGGGTATCTGCAAACTTTCCTCGTGTTTGAGTTTCTTTTCCAACTCTTTCAATTGTAGACACTTGATGTTAAGGCAAATGCTCCTTGTCAGTAGAAAGACACACGGATTGGCGGAGATGGAATTGATTATGTCCTGATGGCGATGGTCGCTTTCTGTCTTGATGTGTCATTCATTTCAGCCTTCCTGATTGCCCCTGCAATGTTCTTTTAGTCTGTTCTTTTAGTTCTCCTTGGAGACGCTATGACGTCCTCCTGGCTGCCTCATCAGCGAGTTAAATGAAACTTTGACACTTGTTCATTTTCTATTTGCATGATTTTACCTTAAAAAAGTTATCGTGCAGGGCGCCTGGGTGGCTCAGTCGGTTGAGCGTCCGACTTCGGCTCAGGTCATGATCTCCCGGTTGGTGAGTTCGAGCCCCGTGTTGGGCTCTGTGCTGACAGCTCAGAGCCTGGAGTGTGTTTCAGATTCTCTCTCTCTCTCTCTCTCTCTCTCTGCCCCTCCCCCACTCACGCTTTGTCTCTCAAAAATGAATAAACATTAGGGAAAAAAAAAAGTTACCACCCAACTTTTCTCAAGTTTCCAGTCCACACAGTTCGACGAGGAGCCTGTCAGGGTCTGACTCAGGGATGTCTAACAGGGATTCTTTATTATTACTATTATTTTCAGCAGCAGAGAGCTCTTTGAAAGCTGATGAAAACAATGGACCCTGTGCCTGGGAAAAATAAACACACAGGCAGACACACACCATTTTGCACGCTCTCTTGAGAGTTCCTTGGCCTCTGGGACACTGGTTTAAGAACTCCTAGGACAGAGTCTGGGGTCAGGATAGCTGCTTCAGATCACAAGTAGAAAGAGGTAGAAGGGAGAGGTTTGCTGAATGCTTGCCGTGTGCCAAACTGTACTAACTCATTTAATTGTCACAGAAACCCTGAGAGACCACAAATTGTTGCTGCGAAGGGCACACGTCACTTGCCCAAGGACACACAGCTGGTAGGGATTCTAAAGTGACTTCTTTGCACCGCAGATATAAGGTAAGGAAATAAAATAGTTCTTGGGGGGAAACACATAAATCCCTAGGGAGGAAAGGTTGCTGCCCCCCCAACCCACCCACATTCAACTTTACATCTGTGCTGAACCTGAGACGTTCTGGTCACCTGAGGCTCTTCTGGTTGGCCAAACCCTGTTTCTAGAGGCTTTGGGGGAAGGGAGTTATGTGATAGGAAAGGGGATAGGGATTGTGGTGGTTAATTTTATGTTAACTTGACTGGGGCCACGGGGGGCCAGGTATTTGGCTGAGCATTATTACGGGTGCTTCTGAGAGGTGTTACTGGAGGAGTTCAACCTTTGAACGGTAGACTGAGCAAAGCAGATTGCTCTACCCACTGTGGGTGAATGTGAGGCCTGCGTGGAACAGAAAGGTGGGGGAACAGAGAACTGGCTCTCTGCCTGTCTCTGAGCTGGGACTTTGGTCTCGTCTTGTCTTCAGACTCAGATCGGAGCCCAGGCCGTCTGTTTTCCTGGGTCTTTGGCTTGACCCCTCCGGTCACGGGGCTTCTCAGCCTCCATAACCATGAGGGCCAATGCCTTGTAATAAGGAAAAGAAATGTGCACACAGTTCTGTTTCTTTGGGGAAGCTGGGCTTACACAAGGAGCCCAGAGCAGAGTGGACGTGTGCCTTTTCTATTCCACCTGGAAGCCTGGGCATCTGCTGTGACCCTCATGTTGCCGGGCCATGAGAAATGGCTGCAAGAGGTCTAGAAGGAGAGCCCTCTGCCTAGCCTAGGGCTTCCATGACCCCGGAGGGGTGGGGGAGAGGAGCAGTCAACCCTTCCTCTGGCTCATGAGAGGTGGCTGTACCCAGTGGATGCCCTCAGGGGAATCAGAGAGACAGCTGGGAAGCTGCTGTCTCCTCCCTCCAGCTACGGAGGTGGTGTTTATATAAACACGCGCCCAGCCCCACAGTCTGTTAACGGACTCTTTTGCTCCCCCAGCCCTTCGCCTTCTTCCATCTAGAGCTTGCTGGAGACTAGGCGTCCGTGATGACATTCATGGGCTCCAGCCACGTCTAAGTGTACAAAGCATGCTCACTTTTCCGGGGGGCACAGTCTGACTCTGGCGTATTGTATGCCTGAGGGCAGAGCGAGGTCGCTGCCCCCAATTTGCAGGTGAGAAAGCCGAGGCCCAGAGGGACTGGATGGATGGCAAGGTTCTGCAGCAAATCAGAGAGAATGCAGGACTAAGACCCAGGCTTCCTGACTCTACTCTCCGTCTGACTCCTGGGTGCATCAGGGACCCGGGCAGCGTGCAGAGGTTCTGTCATTTGGGGCACATTATCCAAACTTCTGATCTGTGCACAAAGGTCAGTCCAGTCTGCCCAGCTAGGAGGAGCAGGCCCTGTGCCCCCACAGCAAGGCATGTCTCAGCAGTATTTGGGCCCAAGGGAAGCTCGGGGACGGGGGGTGGCCTCTCTGTGAGTCGGAATGGCAAACTCCAGGTCTGAGACCCAAGCAGCCCCTTTCCTGATGGGATCGGGGGACAACACCATCACCCATAGGAGGCCCAGCCCTCACACTTGGCAAAGCACTTCCACTCTATTTCAGAGCCTCCCGATTGCTCTTTGAGGTAGGCCAGGTGGGGCTTACTGTCTCCGTTTTAGAGATGTGAAAACTGAGGCTCTGACAGGGCACGTCGTTTGCCCAAGGTCTCCCTGCAAGGAAACAGCAGAGTCCGCAGGCTCATCACAACGGAGCGAGGCTGGCCTTCCAGCTGGGTCCCTTAAGCTAGTCCTGGGACATAGACTCTGCAAAGAGCTTACCGCCGTATTCTTTATTCAGACCGGAAGTACAACATTCCTCCCCAGTCCAGCAGAATAACCCAAGACACTCAATTCTATTTTAAATTAACAACAACAACAACAACAACAACCACCTTCCTCTGCATTTCTCTCCCACTTCGTACATTCACGTCAAAGCCGTACAGAATTTGCTGGGCATGGGCCAACTGCAAGGTCGCTGAGTGCATGCCCTGCTTTGCCGGGGAAGCTCCGCACAATCTCTTTGGCCGACCTGGACTGAGCTCCCGGGGGCAGAGCCTCAGTTGTTCGCGTCTAGATAGATCCAGTTCTGTTTGTGGAGAACCCAGTGGGTGCTCAATAAATGTGTCATGAATGAATGAACAAACACCTCCCCCGTGGCCTGCTGTATGCCTCTATTCTCACGACGGCTCAACCTCACCGCAGGAAGAACCAGAAGGACCCTCGGAAGTCTCCTTGTCCAACTGCCTCGTGTTATAGATGAGGTCCAGAGGGGGTGAGTAACCAGCTGGAGGTCACAGAGCGAGTCAGAGGAGACACAAGCACAAGCAGACGCTCTCCTTGTTCCAGAGCTCCTCTCGGACTCTCCCACGGCCTCTGTCTTCTGAGTCAGGAGGGCAACCTTGGGAGCAGAGGCGAGAGCTCCCGTATTGGTCATCTTGCCGTGGAGTCCGACGCAACCTTTCGTGGGGCGTGCTCAGGGAAGGCCCCCCCCCCAGGGGCCTGGGCCCCCTCCTGCCAGATGTCTTCACCCGGCGAGGAGAGCGGCACCACTGGAGAGAGGTTTCTTGGTCCCTACGTCGATGTGGCACAGGGGCTGCCCCATTTGGGGTTGGCAGGTGGAAGGAAGCACAGTGCAGGGAAGCAGGTGTACTGGACGAGAGTGCCTGGGAGAGGCTGTGTCTCCCACAGGTGGCACGGGAGGAGGGTGGTCTGGCCGGGGAACCACGCAGACGCCGGCTGGCCTGGAGCCGGTGGATAACAGCCCATGGGAGGAGCCAGCCTGGGCAGAGCAGAGGGTGACCTCATGGGGCCCTGTCGAAAGGGGAAGGTCAGGAGAGAGAAGTGAGTCCTAAGCTTCACCAGAGGCTTCACCCTCCGCTTCCCGACCTTTTCCCCAGGACTTGGGCAGCTCAGGGCAGGCAGGGGACCATCTTGGGGAGAAACGTGTGCCCTGGGGGCCAGGAGATCTGGTTCCTAATCCTGGCATTGACAGGAATTACTTGATGTGAAAAAGTCACTTTGCTTCTCAGTGCCCAGTTTCTGCATTAGCAGAAAGTGGATAAATAAAGAAATCCTTCCTTGCAGTGTCACTGTGGCCACGCACAGACCTCTAACCACGGGACTGTCTATTTTGTGTCCTGCTGGCTCCCTGCTGTTCGGCATCTGGTACGCACTCCAAGGTGTGCGGGCTCCACGGACAGCTCACACTCGGGGCACATGGCCCAGGTGCCGAGGCTTTTCACGTCTCAGTAATTTCACCCTCATTGAGCTACTACTTTCTCCGAGGGGCGAAGTGACTCTTCTAGGCCATGCTGTTGCTAAGTGCAGAGGCTGAGATTTGAACCCGTGCAGTCTGACTCCACAGCCTTCCTGCTCAATGCCCGTGCACTGCCCCCTTACTCCCTGCCTGTTTCTTGAACTGTGAAGTTCTGCACAATAATACAAGCCAGTCCCCAGAGGAAGGACAAGCATTGGGATTGTCACTCAGTGGTTGAGGACATGGGGGCAGAGAGGGGCAGTGACTTGTCCCAGGTCACACAGACCTGTGGGGCATTCTTGGCCACGCTGTCTCTGGAAGAGTTCCCCTTGTACTCTTTAAAAAAAATTTTTTTTTTAATATTTATTTATTCTTGAGAGGCAGAGCGTGAGCAGAGGAGGGGCAGAGAGAGAGAGAGGGAGACACAGGATCCAAAGCAGGCTCCAGGCCCTGAGCTGTCAGCACAGCCCCTCATGCGGGATTTGAACCCACCACCTGCAAGATCATGACCTGAGCTGAAGTCAGTGGCTTAACCGACTGAGCCACCCAGGCGCTGGTCCCCCTTTGCACTCTTTACTGTAGAAAGGGCCACCCCCCTCCACCCCTTGGGGTTCTCACTTCTGGGTCTGGGTGGGATGTTTGCAGACAATGCCCCCCCCCCTTCCCCAGCGCCCCCTCGGTGCCTTAGCCACTCACCACCACGTCCAGGTACGTGGTCAGGGCCAAGCCGGCCTCATTTAGCTGCTTCGGGGCCCCAGGGCTGCCAGGCTTCTGCTTCCTCCACTTCGCGCGCTGGTTCTGGAACCAGATCTGGGATAGGAGAGAGAGAGAGAGGACAGAGATAAGCAGCAAGTACCTTCCCTAAAAACCGTAACTGGCACTTCACAGTCCAGAAAGCTCCACGGCTTCAGGATTTCCTTGGCCCTGGAGGTCTGCCCTCTAAGAGGGGCCCGGGGATCACAACCTTCAGTTCCTGCGGGGCGGGGGTCTCGTGCACCCGGAAAGCAGCTGGATGCCATGTGGCTGGGAGCGGTGGGGTCTGTGGCCAATGGGGCCTAAAGGGCGTGGCTCCTCAGCTTTAGCCCGTGGTCACCCCGTAGAAATGTGAGGCTGGGCATTACAGGCCCAGCCAATATCTAAGGCAGAAATCTCGGTTTTTATGTGAAAGCGTTGAGATGTAAAACACTGTGCAGATCAAATAAAACTCATCTGTGGGCTGTTTCCTGCTGGAAGACCACCAGCTTGCCACCCCTGTGGGCCCCTCGGCATCTGTAGATTGACTATCGGCAGCTCCCCGTATTCACAAGGACACTGACTGCCCCTGACACGTGGGCATTTGTACTTGGCCATTCGGCTGAGACAGCCCCTGAATTCTGGGCTTTATGGCAGTTGTGGGGAGGGGCTAAATCCACTTAGCTGGTGACTGATTCTAAATGGGAGGAAAAAGAGAGAAGTCTAGAATGGGGGTGGTCCTTAGCCAGGAGAAAAGTCTGTTGGGATAAGATTGAGAGTAAACTGTTGATCTGGGCCCTGACTCAGATTTTGAATTTGGAACGAATCTATTAAAAATTAAAAAAAAGTGACGCAGAGTAGAGCGAGCCAACAGCGTAACAACTGGATTTGGATTTGCTAGGGTGGCGCTTGCAAAACTGGGGGTGTCCAAAGAGGGTGGACACACCCCTGCTGAGTGACAAGGGGCCACTGTATCTCCAACCACAGAAGGAGCCACGGACACTCCGAGGTGAAGAAATGACATATACTAGAATGGGCAGTTGGCATTTATTTTTAAAAAATTTTTAATAAGTTTGTTTATTTATTTTGAGAGAGAGAGAGAGAGTACAAGCAGGGGAGGGCCAGAGAAAGAGAGAGAGAGAGAGAGAGCATGCCAAACAGGCTCTGCACTGACAGTGCTGAGTCCTAGGCAGGGCTTGAACTCACAAACCGTGAGATTATGACCTGAGTCTGAGCGGAGACCAAGACTCAGATGCTTAACCGACTGAGGTGCCCCTCCCTCATCGACTCCCAGGTGCCCCTAGGCAGTTGGACTTAAACCAGGTCTTGGACCACTTCTCTCTGTGCTGCCTTCACAATGATACCCATGTGGTCTAGTCAAGGGTTAGCAAACTAAGGCCTGAAGGATCAATCTGGCCTTCCTACCTGCTTTTGCATGGCCCGTGAGCTAAGAATGGCTTTCACGTTCTTAAGTTGTTGGGAAAAAAAAGATAAAAAGAAGAAACATGTTTGTGACACATGCGGATTATACGAAATTCAGATTGTAGAGTTCGTCAACAAAGTTTTAGACAGTGACTCTATGGCCCCACAAAGCCCAACATAATTACCATCTGGCCTTTTACAGGAAAAGTTTGATGACCACTGGTCTAGATTGTCTATTTTGGGAATGAGGCCTCCTGGTGAGTGATGTTCTGGAACTACAGCCAAAAGGAGAGGGAAGATGTGGAAGCAGATATCGGTGGCCACCCCTGATGCCACCTCGCTCCATTTCCACCCCTCAAAGAGAGAAACCATCTTGTAACTGCGGTGACCTCATTTCCTGGAAATACTATTTGGCAAATGTGACTGTATTCGAGGGATAAAGGCAATGGAGAATTTCAGATGGGCCAGCCCCGGAGGGTCCATGATACATGGGGTCTCACCCATGGCCCCCAAGGCATTGAGGCTGGAGGCTGAGGGTGGGGACAGCTGTACCTGCACCCGAGCTTCTGGGAGTTTGATCCTGGCTGCCAGCTGGTTGCGGATGTGGACGTCTGGGTAGTGGGTGAAGTGAAAGATCTTCTCCAGCTCGTGCAGTTGCTCGGTGGTGAAGGTGGTTCGGACTCTCCGCTTGCTCTTTCTTTCCTCTGGATGGAAGAGGGTTCAAGCTGGGTTAGCGATCTTATGGTTAGCACCCTGGTGAGGCTTTTGTGTTGCCTGGTGTCACTCTTTCAGCCCCTGCTGTCCATTGCAGAGTCTTGGCCACTGGCTCCTCTGCTTGGAGTTTCACAGTGTTCTCTCTCTCTCTTTTTTAATGTTTATTTATTTTTGAGAGAGAGAGAGAGAGAGAGAGCGAGCATGAGCAGGGGAGGGGCAGAGAGAGAGAGAGAGACACACACACACACACACACACACACACACAGAATCAGAAGCAGGCTCCAGGCCCCGAGCTGTCAGCACGGAGCCTGACACGGGGCTTGAACTCACAAACTGCGAGATCATGACCTGAGCTGAAGTCAGACACTTAACCCACTGAACCACCCAGGCGCCCCTACAGTGTTCTCTTGCCTAGAGATCCTGCCCTGAGGTTGACCTCTCCAAATCCATCCTGAGCAGTGAGGTCAAGAGAACTTTCTAGAAAGTCCTCTGATCATCCTTTTTGTTGCTCAGATGCCTTCAATGATGTGTCCTTGTCTACAACAGGGCATGGAAAACTATAGCTTGAGTGTCAAATCTGCCCCACTGTTTGTTTTTGTAAATAAAGTTTTATTGGAACACAGACCTCCCATTGCTTCATGCATCGTCTATGGCTGCTTTTGCAAGCAGCCTTGAGTAGTTGCAACAGAGACCATATGGTCTGCAAAGCCTAAAATAGTTACTGTCTGGCCCTTTACAGGAAAACCTTGCCAGCCTTGGTCTAGAAAATAAAGACTGAACTCCACAGCCGTTAGTCCCTTATAACCTGTTTCCCAATCCAATTGTCCAAACGGTCTGGCCTCAAGTCCACTCAGGGCTGGCTACAGCATTTGTGGGGCCTAATGAAAAACGAAAATGTGGGTTCTCTTGTTCAAAAAGCAGGAAAAAAGCTATTTCCTTTCTTCTGCGGTCTCTCTCTTGATCTGTCATGTGGTGGTGGTTGTTGTTTGCTTGTTTTTTTCCCCTTAATTTGCTGTTTTATTTATTTATTTATTTATTTATTTATTTATTTATTTTTATTAAAAAAGTTTTTTTAAACATTTATTCATTATTGAGAGACAGAGAGAGACAGAGCATGAGCAGGGGAGGGGCAGAGAGAGAGGGAGACACAGAATCCCAAGCAGGCTCCAGGCTCCAAGCTGTCAGCACAGAGCCCGATGTGGGGCTCGAATTCACGAACAGCGAGATTGTGACCTGAGCTGAAGTTGGACGCCCAACCGACTGAGCCACCCAGGCATCCCTCTAATTTGCTGTTTAAGGTCAGGCTCTCTTGAACACAAGGATACTAATAGGGTGAGTGTGGATCCTCACAGCAACCCAGGGCCCTTTGACTTGGCACCTGGGTGCATGCACCTGACATTGACCCTTCTGCCATCCATACTCTGACAGCCCTCACATCCCTGGAACTGCATAGGATAGAGGAGGCAGTTGTCATTGGCTAAGGATGAAGAAACAAGTGGTCTGTAAGAGGGACATCGAGGGCTGAGTCAAGGCTCCAGGGCCTTAGTGCATGCTCCGTGGTCCCACTGAACTTCACTTACAAAACAGATTCACACGTAAAATGATGAAGAATTTCAAGATGACCATAAGCATTAAGCCCCATGTGCCAGGCCTCTGTCTGTGTGCAGTACCCTGGACAACTGTACTGGTCTCACCCACATCCGTGGAGCCAGGCCTGAGCATGTGTGTGTGATGGGAATCAGGCATTCTACTGGGACCTGTTACCTTTGAGATGTCTATTGGCTATTCAAAAAATCTGTCCAGGGGCACCTGGGTGGCTTATTTGGTTAAGCGTCTGATTTTGGTTCAGGTCATGATCTCATGGTCTGTGGGTTGAAGCCCTGAATCAGGCTCTGTGCTAACAGCTCAGAGCCTGGAGTCTGCTTCGGATTCTGTGTCTCCGTCTCTCTCTGCCCTCCCCTGCTTACACTCTGTCTGTCTCTTTCTCGGAAATAAATATACATTAAAAAAATTAAAAACAAAACAACCCCCCCAACCCCCCAAAATAAAAAGGACACGATAACATCATGAGAAGCCCCCAGTAAACGTTCTCCAGCAAATCTCTATGTCACCCTGCTTTTTGGGGAACCTGACCTGAGCCAGAGGAAGATCAGAAAACATGGTAGAAGAGAGGCTTAGAAAGAAAGGAGTGGTCATTGAAATTAAAAAATTAAAAACCAGAGAGGACGAAGAGGAAGAAAAGCCAGAAAATATCAGTGTGTTTATTGAACACCTATTGTGTGCCAGGTGTGGTGCTGGACCCTGCCCTTGGCCTGCGTGCATGCATGTATTTTAGCCTCCCTTGTTCCGAGATGGATTTGTGGCATGTGGTTCTGAGTCTGGTGTTGGGGAGGACGTTGAGGACCACAGGAAGACCACCTGGGTGGAATTACTACGGCAGAAGCCAAGAAAAGAGGAGCCATGTTGGCATTGCCCCCAAACACACCCAGTGTGGTGCCTGAGGCTTCGTGGAGACTCTGACAAATATATGTTGAATTAAAGTGGATGGAGATGTGAGTGGTTGGGAAAAAGAGGAGACAGTGAGTAGAATTTGTGGCTCGAGAAGGTGCTAGAAGGGGAGAAGGGAGGCTGGGGAGAAGTTTCAGAGAGCAGCCTGGAGCGTGTCTGAAGACCGAGAAGGAGAAATGGAGGCGGAGCGAGAGAGGGCTCTGAAGGGGTGGCGGATGGGGCAGCTGCGGGACAGACCGGTCCGAGACGCTCACTACACAGGCGAGGGCGATCGGGTGCTGGAGCGAGTGGTCCAGGGCCGGATGGCAGGAAGTCAGGTCGCCAGCAGAGAATGAGGGAGTGAGGGGCTAGGCCGGGAGGGATGGCCAAGGGCTTTGGGACAGCTGTTCTGGAGAAGGGCGGGGGAAGCGAGAAGGGTAAGGAAGATCGTCCACCGGAAGCCTTCCCTGTACCTCCAGTCTGGGGCGAGGGTCACAGATGGTGGAGGCAGGGCCGAACCAGGTGGCAGAGGCTTTGTCTTCCTGTCCACGCACGTCTGAGACTCGGGCTGCGATTCTGGGTTTACTTGGGACAAAGTCCACATGATATAATTTTAGGAATTGTAGGAAAGATACAAACCGCCTCTCCAAATCCCCTCCGCTTTTGGGGGCTGATGGCTGATGCTGCAGGTCAGATGGGACGATGCAAAAGGAGGGTGGGGATCTGAAAGCCTGCAGAGGCCTCCTTGCTCCCACCCGGTTCACTTTCTTTTTCTGTCCAAATAAGAGGTAGAACCGCCACGGATGAGGAATTGGAACAGACCCTGGGTGAGGAGTGGATTTTCACTTGTGATGGTTTAACAACTGAAGTGTGTGTGTGTGTGTGTATGTGTGTGTGTTTGTGTGTGTGTGTGTGTGTGTGTGTGTGTGTGTGTGTTATTCGTCCTGCCATCATTTGCTAGAAGGAAACCCACTGAACTGGATGTCGGGAGACCTGAGCTCTGTTCCTGAACTCTATAACTTGGGCCACATTTTATTTCCTCTCTGGGCCTCAGTCTCCCCATCTGTGGAATGGAGGAGGAGGGCAGGCCAAATCCACCCTGACAATCTGTAATTCTCTTTCCCTTCATGTGGAGGCCAGGTGGCTTATAACACCTTGCCTCGGGCTGGCCTGGGGGACCAATTTGCTTGGTGGAAGGCGAGGGCCCGAGAGGAGAGATTTCTGCGGATGCCAACTCTATTGGCTGAAGCTGTTCCTACATCTCCGGGATTAACCAGGCCCAGGTGCTTCTGTTGTAGAAATGGCATCTCATAGTCTGCCTTTGGTCTCACCCCTCTCTCTTATCCCTTCAGCTTGTTAATAATCATCCTCAAAGGACTTTAACTCATTTTACTGACTTGGGAGCTTCTTGGGAATCGCAGACAACGAGGTCTCAAACACTATCACCCGCTAGAGCAAGCTCTAGCTACTAACTACCAACCACCTGATCGGACCTGATCTCTCCTTCTCTAGCCCCTTTCCTTCCCCGAGCCTACTTTCTTTCAAAAATTTTTAAAGAGAGATTAATTCTACCTTTAGGGCCAGTAGTGTTTAAGGGATAGAGCCGCATCCAATCAGAATTGATACAGAGAGATGGCCAGTGGCAATCATTGCTGAATCTTACTGAATATCCCCTCTGTGCCCAGCATTGTGGAGGCACTGGGGGCCTGTCTGCAGGAGTGCAAAAGTGGACAAGCCATGCTCACAGTATCATATTCATTCCTTCATGAGGTCAGCGTCTTAGGTGATAGTGATGCTGTGCAGCTCTAAAGGGCATTGCAAAAAACAATTCACAGGATGGAAGATTCCAGGTTGCCTGCGCAGACTTTGGCATCCAGGACAGTATGGAGTTGGATCCTTCTGGGAGTCTAGAAGGGAGGATTCTAGACAGAGGGTGCAGAACCAGAACTTGGGGAAACAGGTGCCACAGAGAACAGAGGGTTAGGAACAGATGCAGACAATGACAAGAAGCCACCTCCTCCTTTCTCCCCAGAAGGAAACTCAGGCAAACAGGGGCTCATGACTAAGAACAGACTCCTTAATAGAATAATATTTTCAGCGCTTCCATTTGTGGAACTAAGGGAGCAACTGTTAAGATACATATGGTTTTTCCCTATTTTGGGCAGGACTGCAGGGCATAATTTGGAGGTGGAGTGAAGAAGGAAAGGATCTACCTCTTCTCTGCATGATAAATGACCTCTGACTTGGTGGAGAGGGGGCTGCCTGGCAAATTACCGGCCAGTTAGAAAAATTTGTTTTTGTATCCAGAGCTAATTTTTTTCAATTGAATTGAATTTTTTGAATTAGCTCAGGATAGATGTTTGTCTCTGAGAGATAATGATAATGATGTTGATAATGATGATGGTGATGATGGTGGTGATGATGGTGGTGATGATGATGGTGATGATGATGATGGTGATGGTGATGGTGATGGTGATGGTGATGATGGTGATGATGATGGTGG